CATGGCTGTGTATTAGGGAGATTCTAAGGCCTGCAGGGCAAACTCCTGGTTTATGATTGGCTTGTTGCTCTGTGGAGAACCCAAGCCAATCACATTCTTTGTACTTCCACTACAGACTCACAGGATACATTTGGTCGAATTAAAGCAGAATTAGCCAAAAATATTGTGACTTGTTAAGAACAACATATCCTACACTTCCCATAATGCAATTTCATAGCATCTTTAATTAGACCTTCTCTCCCTGGTAAATGCTATATTCAGACCCTTTACTCTAATGAAAGTAGGAATACATATATATAAGTAAAACTCTTTCATTTAATAATCAACAAGCAAAATGTACTTAAAGTGTCTAAAGTAAAAGTAGTCAATGCAGTATAATGTAACTATATCCAGTTACAGTAAATCATTGAATTATTCTTACTAATGTGTGAACCTAAATTGCTGTTGTGATTGTGGGAAAGGCCATTTTGATTAATGCAGAAAAACTCAATGTGGAGGATTTTATTATTATTATAATTATTATTATATAAAAGTTATTTCAATAAATTGCTGGCCATCATAAAATAATAACGTATAAGTGTGAAATCTTATTTTATAAAGTGAATAGAAACAGCTGTTATATAAATGTTTGGAGTAAAGAAATTCAATATATCCTCTGAATTATGATGGAGTGTCATGAAATGCAAAGGACCTCAAAATAAGTACTGCAATTGAGTAAATGTGCTTTATACATTACACCACCATGATCCTCCGTGCTAACAGTTTGCAAGTTAGGCTTTCTATTAAAAACGTTACCCCTAAGTCCAAGGCTGATAACATCAGCAGGGTATTTTTCTTAGTCTTTGTAGTCTCTGCAGAGCCATAAAAAGCATTATTAAACTGCTTTATTAGGTTGATTAGTACTCCTCATGACAATAAACGTATTTGTTTCAAATCTGGAGTTCCCCTTTGACAGAGCATTTGAATACTTTGGGATGTCTAACTAGTGTTTCGGTTCTGTCCTATTCACCTTTTCCTCTGACTAAGATGTTTGAGGTGTGGCTCACTCCGACAAGTGTGTCAGCTACTTCCTGTCTGGAGAAAAATCCATAGAAGAAGACGGAAGTGACTAGCTTTGTGGAGGAAAATAAAGAGATTGACATCTACAGTAGTCCTCAAAACATTGCATTGTTGGGCTCAGACTCTGACAGCAAGCATTCAACTACTGAATACTTTGGCTGATATTTGTTTCAGGAGTTTCCCCCAGGGACTGATTTGACCTCAGTAGAGAGACATGAGAAAAATGCTCAGGCATGCACTAAGATCTGTTTATTTGCAGCGAGCCAGATTGTTATAAGGAGCAGAATTTATAAATCAAAAACAGGGTTTCCTAACAAACTCCTCTCAATTCTCACGGCTTTTTATGTGCACTCCACTTCTAGGCTGAAATTGATTTTTCCACACAGTATCAGTTGCAATGTAGGCTCCACCTGAGCACTTTTAAAGTGTGCGTGTGTGTGTGTGTGTGTGTGCGTGTGTGTGTGTGTGTGTGTGTGTGTGTGTGTGTGTGTGTGTGTGTGTGTGTGTGTGCGTGTGTGTGTAGGTGTGTGTATCTTTTAGCTGGATAACTGCAGCTGCAGCTGAGTGCCATGAGGGTGATAGTGGGGGTTGCTGGTCTGTGGGAAGGGGAGGAGGAGGAGGACCTCACATTTAGCTGCCGTCCCTTGGGAGAGATTAAGCAGTTTAGTCTTTGCTGTGTCTCTCTCTATCACTGCCACCGCCTCCTGCTTCTCCTCTCTATTCGGAGTGTACCTTTACTGTCATCCTGCTTTTGCACTTTCTGTTCCTCTCTTCTACTCTCATTTCCTCTGTTCCTTGACTTGCTTTCTTTACCATTCATCCTGCCTGTTGAGCTCTTTCCGCCAGACTGTTTCTATTTTAAACCCTTCTCGCCTTCTCCCTTTTCTCTTACCCAACCCTCTGACCCCGAGACATCCAGCTGATTCTCTCCACCGACAGCCCAGATGGCACAAAGCTAGTGTTTGTGGTTGGATGTACGGGACAGTGCTGACCCCCCCCCCCCCCCTCTGTCCCAACTCACCGATAGGCTGCTTTGGCCGGGCCGTCCCACTGAGCTAAACCTCTGGTCCTGCGTGGAGCACCACAGGGCTCAACCACTACTCACATTAATCTCCTAAACGATCCTGGACCTAAGAGGATCAATACTCATTTTCAGGGAGCAGCATGATCCCTTAATGTAGTGGAGGATGGCTGCTTATCCCTCACTCTCTCCCCCCCCTCCCGCGCCTCAGTTTCAACTCCCCATAGGAAGAGCAGGAGTCAGCCTTTCATTCTATTTCATGGCCCACTTTAGTTAAGACAATATCTTGATTTTACTGCCAATGTCGTTATTCAGGTGAATAGCACCTGTGCGTCCTCTTGGGGGAGACTTTTCCAGGCCTTCACGATAATAAAAACTGCCTCTCTTTATTAGCTGAAGTAGCAGTTTTAGTGAGGTACCCATTTTTATGATTGGAGATCAATGTCTTGTAATTGACTTCTCTGACCCCGCATTCTTTCAAATCATAGAGGGGTCATCGGGAATCCTGCTTGTTTCTAACAACCTCACCACCTCCATGTATTTCTCATTTGTTGGAATTTGCTCTGGTACAAAATACACAGTAATTTGCCAGAGAAAATAAATCACACTGTTTCAATCCAGTTCCTGAAACACAGCAGAGATGTCTTCAGGCTATTTCGTACGAGTAGTGGTCGTTGATTGTTATTCTTTGTTTTCCACAGACGCTGAAAAATGACGTCATGCTAATAGCGGGGCATCCAAGGAAAATGGGAAAGACCTGACTTTCCATTGGATAACAAGCATCCTATTTTTCCAGGCTCGGTGTCGGGGCACACCGCTACGACTGCACGGTTAGCCGAGCGTCTCCTCATTGATCTTTGCTGATGTCGACGGTTTCTGGGGCCTTTTTCATCAGGGGAAGGCAGAGACAACGTCTGGGAGCCCTCCCCTCACCATATCCCTCTCAGGCAGGCTGTCTATTGGTGGAAGAGGCCACCTGGAGCAAGTTTGGAGGTGTTGTTTATGCTAAAGCTATTACTCTCTGTCTGGGCAGACTGCCCTGAGAGCTGGTCTGCTACTGAATTATTCAGCCAAGAGATCTGCCATCCTATGAATACAAGCTGTCAAATGTAGTTGAATGATGAACAGATTGTCCAACAATGAGGTGTCCGTATCCTTGAGTATAAATGCTTGATATGTAGATGTACCTTAAGGCTACATGCTTGTGACATAATATCTAACTTAACACAAAAAGTAAGGACATTTGTGTTTGGTAGATTGTTTTATTGTAACAATGCTTCTTGGCAATAAATCTTATACCGTTGGAAAGCCTGTTTATTTACCTTTCAAATGGTGCCACATTTGTGAGGAACATGCATTTGTGGGATGAGCAGCAGAGCTGAGTATGTGGGTTGCGCCCATGAAAAATGTGACAAATATGGCAAATGTAAATGTTAAGTTTATGATGGTGAAATATTGGTAATGTAATCCAAATGTATCCCGTAGAAAGACAGAAGTCAAACTGGTTACTTCTGCTTGCTCCCGTAAACATCCAAAGCGATTACAAAATATAGCCTCATTTAACAGTCAATACAGGACACACAGCTTGAGGTAAAACTGGGTTACACAGTCTGCTACAATAGACTGTCTGATGACAACATCTCACATACCAGAGGTCCAGGCATCAGAAACCTTATAGTCATCTGCCTCAAGAATAGCCGCAGCCTGGCAGCAACTGCTGCTCTTCTGACCTATAATTGCATGTCATGGGATCATTTCATTCTGTGCTCAGTTTTTATACTTCATCTTCCCTTCACTATAACTTTCCAGAAGAATTCACCTCAAACATGTGATTGTGAGTTATTTTTTCCTTTCCAGTTACACAGAGCCTACTGTGATCAGTAGTGTGTATGTGTTTGTGTGTGTGGAGGTTTGTCTGCTGAAGTGGGCTCCCCTCAGGAGAACAGCAGGGTTTTTCTTTAGGTAGAGGATCGAATCACTGATGACAGTCTCATGACCTCTTCCTGTCACACGCACAAACACAGACACACGCTCTGTCTGCTGCATTTCTACCACACACACACACACACACACACACACACACACACACACACACACACACACACACACACACACACACACACACACACACACACACACACACACACACACACACACACACACACACACACACACACACACACACACACACACACACACACACACACACACGTAAACGTAAACAACAGGTCAGATCAAAGTTGATTAACAAAATGACTTAACTAAAGTTGCTTATTAAAAACATGATGCGCACTGATTGTATTTTAAATTGTTCTTCAATCAATTACTTTGACATGTGTTTGGGTGTGTTTAGTTTGTTTTGTTTTGGTTTTGACATTTACCTGTATATCATTTTAATTTTAATGTTATCTTTAATTGTATTAATCTTATGTGAATCTACTGTCCTGATTTTCGCTCTCACTCTCTTGCTGCTTAAACTCCTGAATTTCCCCACGGGGATTAATAAAGGTCCATCTTATCTTATCTTATCTTAAATTGCCAAATACATCACAATATTGACATTATTCCAAAACACTTTTTTTTTGGCAAAACAAACAAACACAAGTGAACAAGTTATGTAACTTGGTTTATTTCAATGTTGTAAGCAATGCAAACTTCTCTACAACCCCTATCCAAAATTACCTATTTCTACCTTCTGTACCTTTAACAGCCTATAAAAGACATAAATACATCTCTGTATCGTGTTTTAAAACATGACATGTTAAAAGGCTGCAGGTAGGGTGCGCATGCAGCCATCTCTCTCACTTCCAGTACTTACAATGAATGGTACTGGCAGCGTGGGTCGGGGAGGTGCGGGAAGGTGATGTCGTAAAGCTTAGTGTCGTAAACCAGGTGCGGAGAAGGGGAGGTGAAGGGGAGGGAGAAGGAGGAGGGGGAGAGGGGGTGAGAGAGGAGGTGACTCTCCGGCAGCATTTAGACACAACGAAAGGATCATGGCGGATGGCCCCAGGTGTAAGCGCAGAAAGCAGGCGAACCCGAGGAGGAACAACGGTGAGTTAAACTACTTCCAACGCGGGGCTTGTCTTTCGGGGAGACGGTGCAGAGGCTGTTCTGTCTCCCGGTAATTTCAGCGAAAAGTTTGGGACCCCAGAAGTCCGGTTTTTAGTAACTGAAAGTGCTGGGAAGTAGCAAGTGAGCGCTGTATTACAGCCCTATGTGGTGTACCGTTATACCTGGGTCGCGTCTCTCCCTCCGCCTAGCGGTCCGCTGCACTGGAGACCGTTATACGCACCTCACCCTGTTAATAGTGGACCAGCTTTTGTCTGCACTTTGTACTTCTTTATTCATTTTAATACACTTTAACCCTCTTTACAGACTCTGCTTTTATTGAATTTGTTGCATTTTGTCGAGTTTTTGAGCCAACCACGAAACTCGGACCTGTTTCTGTGTGAAACAGGCTACCTGATTGTTATTGCGGAGATCGACAGACGGGTTATCTTTAACAGTTTTGGTTAAAAAACATCAGATTTAGCGGTGATTTTATTGAAAACGTTGTTAATATGGTTTATGTTGCTGAAACAGAGGGAGCACAACTGTTTGGTTTGTTCTTTCTTTCTTTTGCTCACTCATAGCAGGTAGCGATAGGACACTGTTGCTGCAATAGAAGGGCTGACAAAACGTAATTCGACGGATTTTATCCTGTCTGCAATGTGCTTCAAATGAAGTCTATATTACCGACGGCATCATATCAACGTTTTACTAGAGAAAAGTGAAGAAATACGTGTTGTGTTGAAACGCGCTTTGGGCAGGTCTCTTTTCTTCATCTTGCAACTTATAACACTGTTGTAGTTATGTACTGCTCATGTCGTTAAAGTTAAATGCTTTCACACTGGTCTTCGATAGTAAACTAACGACAGAAAGATCAGTCGAAACATGGTGAGGGTAACCGAGGTTCCGGAGAACGAGGAATATCTCACGCGCTGTTTGTGTGAGCAGGGCGAGCGCAGCCCATATAAGGAGAGCGGATCCTCTCCTGTCGCGCGCTGGGAATCCTGATTCTTGTTCGACCAGGGACGCGAGCGAACCTTTACACAAACTCATTTTTTTAACGTAATATGTTAGCATTTTCTCTTATTTTAATGCGCCTGTATAGCCTACTAACAATTCGAGTGGATAATGTGTGTTTCGGTATGCGATGACCAACGGTTTTCACCCAGGTTATTGTCGTGAGAAAATAGTGTTTATATTGTTACAAAGTAACTAACGTGAATCTCTTCAAGGATACAGTTTTTTTTACTAGATTTATCTCCTAGTTTTATCACACATGTGTTTGCTAGTTGCGTTTATTTTTGTTAAAGGGAAAACTAAAGGACTTTTTCGAGTTGTTGTCTGTTTTCCTGCTGCATCTTTCCATGTATTTACGTGGGCTCTTGTGAATCCGTAGAGCGATATTTTACCACGCAATTAGCTTTTTATAACTATTTTATTGAGAAAGCAAGCCTTTTTTGTCGCAGGTTTGACAACATGTGTTGTCTATCAACAAGTCATGTGTTGTGCCACCCAGTGTAGCTCAAAGGAACTGGGGTAACACAGGACATAGCGTTATTTTGTCAAATCAACCTTGTATCATTAGATTCAGGATAACCGTACTCGATAACCGTAAAGCCGTTTCTTTTTTGTGTCAAAAGCATTCGTTTGGGGAGGAAAAGCGACCAAACGATGTGCGTTATTGCTGTTTTGTGAATTTTCTCTGAATACCTAGTGTGCAGAGTGGCTTTTTATAGGTACTATCGATGTTTTCTACTGTCATCTTGTTTTTTATGGGGTGTGTTCAGCTATGCATTCCCTCCCTGGAGCGTTTGTTCAGTTTAATATGTGCAAGGTGTGGACACACCTTAAATAACGGTCCTGCTGTCTAGGTGTGGATATTCCTCTGCCTTGTGTTATTTGCTCTGGAGAGACTTCAGGATCTCTACCTGTCATTTGTTGCTTTTCCCCTTTACCTTAACAGGGTTATTTTAAATAAAGACACATCTCTGTTGATATTTAAAGTCACATCCTTAACTCAACAGATGTGTTTCCCTGTTACTTTGCCTCATTTGCATTTGTATCAAAGAGCTTCCTACCACCTCCTGACAAGAGAGTGATCTGTCATGTAAATTAACATCTCAGAAAACTTAACTATTTAAGACCTGTTTTGCATGTTGTCATACACTTGATTTGGTTGTCATTTTATAAGTTTGTTATAGCTAGTTTGTTAAATGCTCTCTGAAGGAGCAAATTACAGCCTAATGGCTACTTTTTCATAATAAAAAAAGTTTCTGTAGCCATTGCTTGGGCTATTTTAATTAAGCAAGTCCTAAAGTTGTGCCCGGCTTGTTATAGTCGATGTCTCTGCCAGGTCCCCGGCGAGCAGGGCGATCTGAGATCAAGGTGAGCCCCATTCCCCGCTGTAAACAGAGAGGTGTTAACAGCCTGCAGGACGACAGGTGTTTGCAATCGGCGGGATACTACAGCTTCCTTTGTCGCTTCTCCCCACTCAGCTCCCCTAAAGGAAAAGCAGCCGTTCCCTGCAACGGTAATTTAACACAGCAATTTGGGAATAGAGGAATGCGCCCGGTGTTAACATTCTTTGCAAAAAATAAACAGTGCTGTGCTGGGACAGCTTTGTACCCATGTTCAGGAGCTGATGTTTTAAGAACAGTGGACAAGTAGCTAGGATTTCTATTTATTTAGCTATATCACACGGGCCATTTGTATCATCCCCTAACCTGTCTCTGTGTCTTCCCCCACTCTCTTTTTCTATTTCTGAACACACACTGGCACCTTGATGAATCATCCATCAAATGAAGTAAATGAGTTTGTGGGCTTGGCACTCGGCAACTCATGTAATGTTGAGGAGCATGTTTATTGGCCTGGTAAAACTATACTTAAACTATACTTAGTGCCCTGGACTCCCTCACCCTGTCTAGAAGCTATTGAATACAAGCACATGCTGTAAGTTAGTGGGAGAACAATAAAACATGCTTCAGCTATAGCCACAGTTTGTTAGACGAAACAAGTGGGGCTGTGGTGAAGCTTCGGAGGAGGTGCGGATTGGCTCTGTAGCTCCGCATGCCACTTCGGTTGTTTAAAAGACATCTGTTTACATTTAAAAGGTCCACCCCTGTTGTGTGAAGAGTTGAGCAGAGGAGGACATTTTTCATTTATCTCCCTGCTTTTCACCAACTTCCTCGGCAGCTTCATTTAAAAGTGCCAAGTAAGAAGAAAATCTCCCCGCCTCCGCACTCTCTTTCTATCTCTCTCTCTCCCCTCTCACTCCTCCTTCCAGAGCTTGTCCTTTATTTCGGGGGGTTAAGACACAGTAGCCAGGGGTGCTGTTGATTGCCCCCTGACCTAGGCACCCATGCGTGCCTAGAGTATGACTTCACTTTCCCCCCCTGTGCCATTGTGAGGCTTCCAGCATGTCCAATTGTGTTTGTGTTAAACTCTGTTCAATGAAAAGGGAAGAGAGGAGGAGGAGGAGGGGTTGGAGGATGAGAAGGGGGGGTTGTCGGAGCTGCAGATTTTTCTCCCTTCTCTCTGTCCATTCCTCCCTGACCCCTTAAACTGTGGGCTCCCATGTTCCCTGTGGAGCCGAGAGGGGGGATGGAGAGAGTTGGTGAGAAGTGTCCGAGGTGACTAAAGAATTTTACAACAGGTGACAACTGAGGGATTGTTGCTGGCAGATGGAAAGCATGACACACAGGGCAGCTATTGTATCTCCTGCGGGAGAGCTAGATTTATGTTTTTCAAATCAGCTGAAGTAAGCTAATTCTAGACCCCAAACAGGTACAAACTTTTCACATGCTTGTTTTTTTTTATTCATCATCGGAAGGGGAAGGTTTCTAAGCTTCACCCCTCAACTTGTCCGTCAGGGTGGGAAAGGGCTGTCCTCAGCTGACCATTGGGCGGAATTAAAATTATGTGATGTACGACCACACTCCCACCTCTGTTAAGGCAGCTTAATGATTAGCTGCTCCCATGGAGGCTGAGAGCATTAGCCTATAAAAAGGTGCTCTCTCTTCGTAAAGAAGGAGTTTTAAACCCAGAGTCAGTTTCAGTAACCCCCTTAACTGCGCTTGGATGTGCTTTATTGGGGTTTGTGTGGCTGAATGCTTAAATGAACCATTGTGTGTTCAGGCTTTAGTGAGAAAGCCTGAGGAGAAAGAGCCTAGTTACCTTTGCAGTTTGCCTGCTCTACCTCATACACTTTCAGTGGCAGAAGAAAAGGCCCATTCAGCGGCCCGGCATGGGGAGGGAGAGCCCTTTTCACACTCCGCTTGTGGGAAACTTCTCCTCCATACTGTGCATGCCATTTGCATATGACCCATTCTTTTCCCAAAGGTCCCCGTGAGGGAGGAATCCGCGGAACGCTCACAGAATTCATCAAATCCCTCTCTCACACGGCCCTCGGGCCCTCAAGAGCCTGCTTTGCAGCACACTATTTGACATTTTTGTCTTGGAAATGTATCGTACGTCTGCGTCATGCTTTAACGTTATCGCCGACACATCCCTGTGGCATTTATGTGCCGTGTATTTTTGAATGGCAATGCACTACCCAGTGGGCTATTTTTAATGCCAGGATGAAGGCTTAATTTGGCACAGCAGGCAGGAGTTTCCCCAAAATCCCCAGCATGGGCAATGAGGGGTCCATCTGCATGACAGGACAATGTGATGGGGGGCCGCGCGCCTCGGAGGCTCCCTAACTGACGCGGTCATCCACAGATCGCCAGCACTCTCCCTGAATGACACAAATATTGAGCATAGGGGGTATTATAGGGGTGAGGCGGTGGGAGCTTGAAGCGACGCGTCGGCTCAGTCAACTGGACAAAAACACGACCGTTGCTCTCCCCCCCCCCCCACAAATGCTGCCTTGATGCAACACAACACGTGCAACAGCATCCATACTGACATGCTTGTTGTTGCTGAGAGAGATGTGTTAGTCTGCAACAGCCTTGACCCCAGACACTGATACTGACACGTAAAGTGGTGCAGGCAAGTATTTGTTG